GGCTTAGGCTAGACAGGTTCGTAGCCAGGGACTCTGTACCGACAGTCGGGCAAGGGATGTCGGCGGAGTGCGGCGCGCAGCCCTGAGTTCACATGGCGTCGGAGTAGTCCCGCTCACGTCGTGCCTGGCAAGCATGACGAGAGCGGCGGCCCGGGCGCCGCCTGCGTCCGGGCTGCCGATGCGCGACGTCGTCGCCGGCCGGTGGGGCTCTAGGTGTGAGGAGTACCATATCGTACTCACATCCTAGAGCCATGAACTCTAGGCTCCCAAACCAGACCACCGTGCCGAGACGTAGTGGACGTATGGGGTCAGCCATCCGGAACTTGTTGGGACGATCACGCTAACACGCAGAGGCCCCTACCTGGCGGGCCAACTGTTGGTGTTTCGGACCGGAGGGTCCTCAACCAACCAGTAAATGTGAACTGCGTGCCCCTAATCCCGGATGGTGATGCAAAGAGACACAAGGTTTATACTGGTTCAGGCAATCGGTGCCCTACATCCAGTCTAGGAGATCGATCTTGTATTCTTTGCACCGAGGTGCTTGTAGTAGGGGGTTACAAGCTAGGTGAGAGAGGGAGCTAGTCCCAGGTCTTGGCGTGGAGTGGTGCGGGCTGCTTGAGTCATTGCTCTCAGGCAGTGTGGGAGCGTGCGTGAATTGAGTGAGTGCGTTTTGCGCGTGAGGGCCGACGTGGTCTCGATCCATAGAAACGACCCTGGCTGCTTCCTTTTATAGCCACAAGGAGGGAGCCAGGAGTACATCAGAGAGCTACACGTGGAGCCTTAGCGAGGAAGGAAGATCTAGTACTGTGGCCTATTCACATGGCGACTGATTATCGGGAATGGCAATTGGTACTTGATCACTGGTGCGTCATGTCGGCCATGCCTGAGGCTGTTGAAATCGTAGGGGTCCTTGTTGACATTTAGTCAGCATGGCCTCCTATGTAGGTGACATGTCGTGCCTTGTGAATTTTTGACTTGGTGGTTCACCGAGGGCTGGCTGGCGGTGTTGTGGCGGCCGCGCCGCGCCGGGCTGATTCTTGAGGCAGGAGGTGACTGAGTGCGATCTGGCGGTCTCGGTGGTGGGCGTCGTGCCAGGTTTAGGTGAAAAAATGCAGGCGTGTGTCCGCATAAAGCACGGTAGTCCCTACACCGTCAGTGGGGAATGGTAAAAAAGGAGATTTGACCGCCGTCCCATCGCCCCTGTTGCTATGCCACGCCAATCGTGGGCGGCGTAAAGCGCAACCGAAGTACCCACGGATGGGAGGCCCGCCAGAAAAAGCGATTGAGGCGAGACAGCGAGGATGCGGGGGGCAAGCCCGGCCTCGGCCGGCGGAGAAGGAATAATCGTCTGAGACCACAGCGGGGTCTCTCGACGACGCGCGTCGAAACAGCGAGTTGGGCTCTCCTACGGTTTACGAGACTACGAGGACATGGACTTGACCTTCCATGCTGCTTTGTCCTTGGCACGAGGGGTTAGATAGCACGGATGATGAGCACGGTGGAAGGTAACCCCTATTGCGCCGGGTCCCCTATCCCGTCGGTCGTTACTCGCCGTCTTGTACTGAAGTCTGGTGGCGTTCTGAGGAGTAGTTGGGCGCATTAATCTGGACGTGACGTTTCGTTAGAGGAGTTTGGTTGGGACGGAGGTTACGAGTATGTTTGCCGAGCCCGGCCTCGAGCGAATCGGAGAATTGGCATCCCATCCGAGGCCTTTCGGGGCGAGGCCTCGGCGAGAGGGCCTCGGTGGGGCGCTTTTGGCCTTTCGTATGAGGCCTCGTCGCAAGGCCTCGAGCGAATCGGAGAATTCTGCAGAGACCTGGCGGTAGTCTTTTGGCTTTGATTTTTGCAAGGTTTAAGCTACATTTTTGGTTCTTGCTTAGGGTACCCCTTCTTATGGTATCCGACAAGAAGGAAAAGAAAGAGAAGAATGATAAGATGACCTTCAAGAAGAAGAAGGGTGGTTCATATGTGGTCACTTGGGATAGTGATGCTTCCTCAAGTGATGATGATGATAGTGATGATGACAAGACCACTAAGAAGAAGGCAATTGCAAGCGTTGCTATCAATGAGAAGCCTTCTCTCTTCGACACACCATGCTTCATGGCTAAAGCCACTAAGGTAGAAACTTGTGATGATGGAAGTGATGAGGAAGATGATAATAAAAATGATAGTGATAGTGATGATGGTGAACCTACTAAAGATGAATTATTTGACATGCTAGAAGATGCTAAAGAACACTTTGACATTAAGAGAAAGGAATGCAAGAGCTTGAATAAGGACCTTTCATCGGGGCGCAGCCGCGTGGGGGCTCGGCGTGCTGGGGTCGTGGCCGTTGGGTGCGCTAGCTACCAGGGTTACAGCCGCCTGGGGCATGTGCTTGCCGAGGCGCGGCCGCCTGGGGCCCAGTCTGCTTGGGGGCGTGGTCGTCGGGACTCGGGACGAGGACGCAGGCATCGGGGGCTTAGGAAGAAATGTCGTGGAAGAAGATAGAAAAAATAATAAAGAAAAGATAGGGCTAAGGGCGCTATGGTAATTTTAGTTTTTTTCTATCACACAAAGTTGTTTTGCCAAACAAGGTCCAAAAACAACTCTGCTTTATGAGTAGAGCTGGTCATTGAGCTGAAAACAAAAAAACAGCTTCATTGGTGAAGTTGAGTTGTGCCAAATGAGACCTTAGATGAGGTCTTAGAGTATCTCCAGCAGCACTACCTAAAACAGACTACCTAAAACTCTATTTGGTAGCCACCCATTTTCATACTACACAAATTTTGCTTTCAACTCCAGCAGTGCTACCTAAAACTGGCTACCAAACCCATCCTAGCAGAGAATGATATTTGGGTCCCACATGTCATCCTCTCTTCTGTCTTCTTCTACACATCCAGTGCCGCCAGAGGGGAGCAGGGGAGGGGCCGTTCGCCGGAGGGCCACCGCATCCAGTGCCCTCATCGGTCGGTGGAGGCGCGGCCGCCCTCGTGGAGGCCGGATTCGCCCTCAGCGGTCGGAGCAGAGAGCAGGGGAGCAGGGGCGGGGGTGTTCTTCGGTGGAAAGAAGATGAGTGACGGCGACTCCTTGTGGCTCCCCATGTGGTGGTGAGCTCGGGAGCGGCTGGATCCAGTCTTGCCGGCCCCGAACACCGAGACTGCCGAACTCGTGCCGGGGATTGCTGCCGCCTCCTGCGTCGGGGAGGGCCGCCGCCAGCCCGCGTCGGGGATGGCCGCGCCGCCTTCCGCGTTAGGGCAGGGACGCCTGCAGCTCCCATGTGGTGACATCGAGGGAGTGCTCGGTAGAGGAAAGAGAGGCGCGGGACGAAAACCGATGGAAGAGGAAAATAGGTAGTCACCTTTGGCCCAACAGGAATGGGTAGTGGGAGGGCGGATTTGGGTAGCCAATAAATTTGTTAGGTTAAAGTAAGTAGTCTGCCAGAGCTTTTTTTTTTTTTTACCTCGCCTACCTAAATTGGCGATAGGTAGTCCCCATTTAGGTAGTACGGTGGAAATGCTCTTACTAGTGGGATACGATTCCCGATTTTCTTTTACCAAGTCAACTCAATCTAGGATACAATTCCGGTCCATTCCAATTTCGTCTCCCACGCAGGGGAGGCGGTCACAGTGCCCACCACAGTGACGACTGACCAATTCGATCCAACAACTAATGGGCCGAATTGGAATGGACAGGCTCGCCCAGAAACACAAAAGGCACAAACGCTTGCGAGGCTAGGCTACGAACAAGGCCCAACTTTGTATCACATGTACTGTACAGTATGGTGCATGTGTTCCTTCCGAGTCCAAACTTCCACACTTCCACAGCAGAGCAGAGAACTCAATCCATCGGAGCATTGTTCGCGTCAATGTTTTGATTTAAAGCAATTGTTTCCTAAAAAAAGAAATTTCAAACCAAAAGTCCCCAACACACGTGCCCATCTACGAGGATTGTAACGGCATCATCATCCTATCGATTGCGTACTTATGCTCGTATATCCACTTAACCACGTATGTTGAGTTGGGAATTTAACTTATTTTTATTCCAATCTACTACAGCACGTATGTATTAAGATAGATAGATACGAGCGCATCAAATCAAAGAGCCAAGCCCTTATATATGGAGTATGAATTGTAAGAGCGAGAGCAAGGTGCATCAGATCAGGATGTTAAGTTTTCCGTTGACCATATATGAAGCTAGCGGCTGCTCATCCAAATGGAAACACACGGCGGAACCGTTCTAGACTATTTTTTTCCCATGTGCAGCTGCAGCGGCGACGGCTGAATTCCGTTGCCAGAGGACGAAGGATAAGAAAACTAAAACTCTAACAACAGTGGGTGGAGCAGCAAATAAATTAATTATGAGTTAGTAACTCAATGACTTCCATCTCCTACATGCAGGCAGCAGGCCTACCAACATTGTTTTGCTGTTCTCGAGCCTGAACCAGAAAAAGCATTCGCAAAAAAAAAAAAAAAAAGAGCCTGAACCAGAAAAAGCTTGCGCTTGCATTGCGCGTTCCCAAGAAGAATGTCGTCGTCGTCGTCTGCGAGCCTCACCGCCACCGGCCGGTGTGCCTGTCGGCCTGTCGCCACCGGCTGCCCATTGCAATGCAAGCCCAACGATAGATGCGTGGCCCAATGGCAGCTAGCTAGCTAGCCAATCATCATCCCTATTCCCTCCTCAGCTACTCAGCACGCACGGACATGGCATGCCTGCATCTGCATGCATGACATGCATGCTTTATCCTTCCGGGGCCTCGGACCGCGGCCGGTGTCGCCTCCTCCGCGTGCCGGCGCATGGCACGCGGCGGCATGCATCCATCGATCCTCTCAATTGATTCACACTGCAAAGCAACGCGCGCGGCGGGCGGCCAACTTAACACTCGTCGCATGGCCATCGATCTCTAGACTGTTCATCATCTCCTCGCCATGGCCCATGGCACGAGTGACATGGCCGTCGAATTACCCGGTGCCAGTGTCGTGTCGCGAAGCGAGCACCCAATGTTCCATCGTGTGTCGTCGTCAGAACCTGGACGAGTGCGCCGGCGCCGGCTTGTCGCCACAAAGGCGTGCGGAGAAGAGCGCGGCGACGGGGCGGTGGTCGGAGAAGCGCGACTCGCCGCGCGCGTACCACTGCTGCTCAATCCCCTCGCCGCGCCACAGGATGCGGTCGCACCTGCGGCCATGTCAACAACCAGCATTCATGTCAACATGCGTCTGCGCGCGTCTCAGCCAATGCCGGCGTAATTATACATTCAGTAGGATCGTCGGAGTGACTTACCATGCCGGCGTGCGCTTCTTCCTGTCCCGGGACCGGGAGCCGTCGGCGGAGGAGTCGGCGATGCTCATCATGGCGTAGGCGTGGGAGCCGGCCACGTACTTGTAGGTGGGCGGGAACACGATGCGGCCTTCCTCCCACCCGGCGAACACGCGCCCGGCTTTCTGCTCCGCCCGCAGCTGGTCCCGCTCCAGCAGCGCCGCCCACTCGTGCCGCTCCACCAGCTCCCGCGCGCCTCTTCCTTCTCCCTCCAGCAGCCGGTAGTTGAGGTCGCCCAGCCATATCACCTTGCTGCACGCACGCACGCACGTTCCCTTTGGTCAGTAATGGCGTGGCGTGGACAACGTCCTTGACTGCATCGGGAGGCCTAGGCCTAGCTTGGCTACTTACTCGTGCTCCAAGATGGTCACCGGCGCCGCCGCCCTGCACTGCGATGGCGAGTCCCGCCGCGCGAACCTCGTCCGCCTCAGGATCTCGGCCACGTCGCCGTTGCGCCGCGCACCGTCGCCGTCCCTGTCGCCGGACGCGAGGTGCGTGCACACGAAGCACAGCGACGCGCCGCCGCGCAGCGTGAGGCTGACGGACACGGAGCCCTTGTTGCCCATGTAGCCCATGACGCCCCTGCCGACGCACGACGCCCTGACGCCGGCGACGCAGGGGAGGAGGTCGGCGCGGACCCACACGCACAGCAGGATGCCCACCATCTGCTTGCTGGCCGCCAGCCGGTACCGGTATCGTCCGCCACGGTGCCGCCGGGCCGCCGGCTCCTCCTCGCTGCTCGACTCCGGGGCCGACGACGACGTGGACGGCTCGCTGCCGGCGTCGTCGTCGTCGTCGTCGTCGTCCGGCTCGGACGACGCCGTGGTCGGCCTGCGGCTGTCGTCCTCCGCTGCCGCCAGCAGGTCCGAGAAGCTCACCCGGCTGGCTTTCTGGAGCAGGTGCATGTCCGAGGGAGACCTGTGGCTTGCGGCGTTGGACGCAGGGCCGTTCAGCGCTCGCCGGATGAGGTCCAGCCACTTGCGCGCCGGGGCCTTGTCCTCGGCGCCAAGCACGTTCCCGGCGTTCAGCGGCACGATCTCCTGGAACCTGTGATTCCGACATGCATGAACAACCAACGGAATTCAGGCCAACAGGAGCTTTGAAACATGCAGTTTGCAGACATCGTAGGACTTTGGCTGTAAAAACATTCTGTATGGATCATGGCTACTTCTGTGTGCTGTGACACAACATAATTTGACCCTTCTGTTTATTGTACTCTCCAGGTAAGGTATGCCACTTGGCAGGAAAAGGAAGAGCCAAAACCAATTGAGTACAAAATTACCATCTCCTATGTGTACTGCCAGGAGTGAGACTTTGTTTAGTTCCACCCCAACTTCCAAAAATTTGCTACAGTACTTGTCACATCGAATGTTTACGGTCCATGCATGGAGCATTAAAAGTAGATGTAAAGAAAAACTAATTGCACAGTTTGGTGGGAAATTTCGAGACGAACGTTTTGAGCCTAATTAGTCCATGTTTGAACACTATTTGCCAAATAAAAACAAACGTGCTACAGGATAGCCCCAAAATCCAAATTCTACAACTAAACACAGCCTGAGTGAGTATGTACTACAGCCTACAGCACTCATAGCTTCTGGAAGGGAAAATGGGAAATGCCGGGGTACTAATCATCATGATTAGCTTCAGAAATTAACGCAACACTGAAATCCATGACCACGACATGGGAGTACCACTACTCATAATTGCAGGTACTACCAGCGTGCGGTTTAGTGCACTACTTTACACTGAAATCCACACAAAGGGCTGCCAACTCCTATGCCTATGAGCCAGCCAGGACACTCTGGTTTCATGATTACCAAGAGTGGATCGGAGTGGAGCTTCCTGACAAAGCAGGAATTAGCTCTGAATCGGGGGGCTAACCATTCCTGCCTGGCTCTGTCAGTGTTCAGTAATCGGTACTAGCAACCATGCATGCTGTATTCAGAGTTTCAGACTAGCGATATTATTTGTTTTCTCGGTGAAAAAAAAGTTACCCTGCAGTGTTGAGGAGTTGTTCACGAGAACTGAACATACACATAGTACTGCATGTTAAAGATGACAAACACATTATACATGCCATGTACGTAGTAGTAATAATACAGATACGTACCCGAGGACGTAGATGTGAGGAGAGGAGGAATCAGTGCCGTCGTCGGTGAGCCAGTCCGAGAGATCCAGCCCTCCGTGCGGCGCTCGCCCTCCTACGTTCCATGTCCCAACAAACATCCTGAAGAACAGGAATAAAATGCAGCAGTTACAGTTACTGACCATTCCTTCATCTCATCCATCAATCCTTGTATTACAACACATACTACATGATTGGATTAGTTACGGTTTAGTTTCTACGAATTCTTCTTCTTCTTGAGGTACTCTAAAAACTATTCTAATAGCTAGCAGCATCATTAGGCATAGCTACGAGATTATTATACAATCCCCTACGTCTGCAACCGCTGGCTCTAGGACTGGAGACCATCAGACAGAAAGAAAAAAAAAGCAGAGGTCGGCGGTCCCAAAGTATTCCCATCAGCAGGGGTTCAGAAAACATATCCAGTAACATTCGCATCCGGCGACTCTTGATGAAATCGTTTGAACTCATCAGCACGGTTTGACTTGCGAACATGAGCTGGATTGGTTGACTCACAGCTGCGTCTTGTCGACATGATATGACAGCAAGAATTCAACAAGCAAACATAAAACACCCAGGCCAAAGAACGAAACAGGCAGATGATCGATGTGGTTTTTGTTTTGCCCCATGCTGCGTGCTCTGAACTTTTGTGATATATAAAAAAAGCTGAGGTCGGCTGCAGATAAAAAAACGACGGTTCCCATGGCGGAGGACGGGCGTAAGCCAAGGCGCGTCCAGCTCAGAGGCTCGCTCACCTGAGTTCCTTGGGAGGCCGCCGCGTCGAGCTCGCCGCCGCCGAGGAGCCATACCGGGGGCGGGGAAGAGGTGGCCGCCGCAGGTCGTCAGGAGAGCTCTCCACCAGCCAGCCACCTGGATGGGAGTACAGGTACAGCAGCGACGTGCATGGGCAGGAGACAAAACAAAACCATCAGGAAATAGTATATATACATACATATATACAAAAAGGAATGGAATGGTTAAACACCAATCTATTACATATTTACATGTATCTATTTTTCTTGTTAGCTAAGAAAAGAAAGATTGGAACCACTGTAAAAGCATAGCATCAGCTAGTACTCTCCATGTAGTACTCTGTAAAGGTCATTGATCGTGTTCGGCTGATTAGTTGTGGCTGATTTCAGCTGATTCAATAGTGTTCTGTGAGAGACTTGCAAGAACAGTGTTGTGTCGTCTCTTTCGTCGCTTGCTTGGTTTTTCAACACAGCGAGAGAAGGATGCAGATGCTTGGTGAAAAGTCGCTTGTTTTTTCGACACAGGCAAGAACAGTGTTGTGTCGTCTCTTTCGTCGCTTGCTTGGTTTTTCAACACAGCGAGAGAAGGATGCAGATGCTTGGTGAAAAGTCGCTTGCTTTTTCAACACAGCGAGACAAGGGTGCTTGCTCGGTGAAAAAGTTGCAATGTACAGTAAGTACTCTACCTGACAGGTCGTCTCTGTCGGAGCAGCTCTTCCTCCTCATCGTCTGCCGCTGCCCAAAGCTCTCATCTGGCCAAGCAAGCAAGCACATAGCAGTCTTGTCATCAGCGCAGAGGATGTCAAAGCTTGGAGGGGAAAGGGAAAACTGAAACGAAATCGATCCGAGCACTGAAAGAATGAGAGGAGGTGGTAGACTTTGCCAGCTTACCGATGCAGTCGGAGTGGAACTCTGAGTCTTTGAGGTTCAGCCATTTCTTCACCACAGTCTTGGCCTTTGGCCACGACGACGACTGCACGAAAGAAGAGGAGAGGTAAGACCGATCTCGGTTAAGACTCAAAAGGCATCCTATTAATTCCTGCTGACTGGCTTTGTTTACAGATTCAAAAGAAGAAAGTTTTGATAAAACTAGCTGAAAGTTCGTCCTCCCGATCGACCAACCTTTGACATTGTCGGATTATTCCTTGTCCTCATGGCTTCCAGCTGAATTGTTCTCTTCTCTTTCTTCTTGTCTGTCAAAAAGGGTTATGTGATCAGATAGACCGGCCGGAACAAGAATATACTCCTATACAACAGCAAAGCAGGCATAAAGGGAGCTAAGCTAGCTACTGAATCTCAAGTAATGTAATGTAATGTAAGGTATTGATGATGAGACTGATGAACGCGAGGAAGCTGCTGGGTAGTGCGGCTGCGATGCAGCTGGGAGGACCTGCCGAACTGGGAGAGTAAACTAGTCTCAACAGGGGAGGTGGAGAAGAGAGGGGGCAGAAAAAAAAAAAGAGCAGAGCGAGCGGTGCGGTGCACATGCGCCAACAATCTGTTTGGCAAGAGCATTCAAATCTTCTCGCAATTTTTATTTCCTGGAGAATTAGTCAACAGTCGACAGACAGAGTCGTTAACAGAAATGAAGCATGGATCTGAACAGGAACGGAAACGGATGATGGAACCAAACCAACCAAGCTAGTGGATTAGCCTAGGCGGAGATGGTTAGAGATTGCAAGCTTGATCATACAGCGTACGCACGGATGCTGCTGACCGTCCGGAGCAACACGGCCGGCGAGGATTTCTGGGGGCATCCGAGGACGCAAGACGAAAGGAACCGTCTGAAACTGCAGTGCACGCAACAGGGGTGTCCATGGCCTGGGTTCGTTCGCCAAGAAAGAGAAGAAGAAAGAATGGACCTGAGCACTCACCTTGACAATCTGTTGTCAGTACGCTGCCAACCGGCAGGGAGGAGACGCGGCTGCGCTGCGGCGGAGATGGGGAAGGGAACGGAGGAGAAGAGGGGAACCAAGGAAGGAGAGGAGAGCGAAATCGCTGCGGCGCGGTTGCTAGTAGCAGCCAGGAGTAGTAACCGAAGACGAGCAGAGACTGAGAGAGAGAGAGGAGATGGTAGCCAAGCGTGGAGTCGTGGGGTTGGCCGCTGCCTTTATAGGTGTGCCGTGTGAGCTGCCCTCCGCTCGTGCCCTGCCAAACGGGCGCAGCACCTCCGGCCGTTGGTCACGCTCCCGGTCCACTCGGTCTTTGCCTACTCGGCCTTGCAAAGCTTCGACCCGCTTCTTTGCAAGCCTATCTCCGCCCGTCAAACGATAGGATCTATAGCTACGAATCGTGTGTGTCCTTTGGCATTGCCACCACGTCATTGATACCGAAAACAAGGTGCGGCTTTGTTCTGCTTTTGATATTTTTAGATGTCTCTTAGCATTTCTTCTCGGGGACCTATTTTGTTTCTTCTTTTGATCAGAAGTCCTATTTACCAGATTTATATTTGTCCGGAGTTTTGGTTCAGACTTTTTTCCTTCAAACTATGGTAAAAAAGTTTCCTTTCAGATTCGTCATCTTGCGTAGTAAACTCGACCATCATTTGGACCGTACCGTGGAAATTGGAATGTTGTTCCCACTAGGAATTCAAAGGTTCCGAAATTTCGATGGGATTATGGAAACTCCCAGCTGGGGGGGATGGGGAGAAAATTTTAAAGTGTGGCGCCAATTCAAATCAAATGGAAAAGATATGTCACTTGTGTCCATTTGACCGTCGCGAGTGACGTCCCAAGTTGCGCGTACAGCAGTTGCCAGCCGATGGACATGCACGGTGGTGCCCACATGCATGCACACGTAAGCAGCTAGCGTTGACTGGTCAGCTGCACCCATGCGTGCGTGATGCGTCAGTGGAGGAGCGAGTAAGGAGGGAGGTAAAGAAAAAAGAAATTGAACAAATGAAACGTATCACTGAAAGAAAGTAAAAGAAACGAACAACGCAAAGAAAGCTTAATTATGTGCTAATGCAAGTAGTCACTTGCTATTAATCACTCATTGACAGCTAATCATTAATTATCATCGCTGAGGTTAACTACATACTAGTAATTAATTAAGTAGGTAGTAGGTACTACAACACAAGAATTCCTTGATATCGTAGGATGGCGTAGTAGAAGATCGATCACATGCATAAAATTGATAAAGGTTAGTGCGGCCGTAGTGGCAGCTAGCGGCGACCTCAGGGCTGCATGTATAAAATTATCACAACTGCTTGTAGTGTTTCTTAGTAAGAGAACAGAGAGAGGTTTGATCCGCTTCAAGTAATAAATACGTGCTATGCACGATCTTGAAAAAAAAAACCCGCTTCAAGTAATTAGGTTCTTTTTTTGCAGGGTTTAAAGTCACTTCGGATTCACCTACACCAGTACTATTTCTAGGAATTAATTTATTTGGGGATGGAGGATTACTTGTATATTTTCTCTCTCTCTCAAAAACACTAGAAGTGCTGAAGCCAGTTTTTTTTACTTCAGTGATTGAATTAACTTCTTGTGATATTGTAGCAATTTAAAAAGCGCTCGACCCATGGTGACCTCTCCGGAGCTATTATATCATAGAAGGAAGAAGTTTTCTCGAATTGCAGGGCCGAGAAAAAGACCCTAAAAACAAGTTGCTCAAGACACGCCTGCAGCACATATATTTCTGTAGATAGTTACACAACGAGTGACCTTTTTTTTGCCGTGCAACCTAGGAGTTGAATCGGCAGCCTACGTGATATTGACGGGTTTGCTAACTGTAGCAATTAATCTAAAACCGTTTGACAGGGAAACCCTGTCAAATAAATAGGATCTTAATAATGAAACTGATCCTCGTATTTTATCAAGCGCCTTGACAACCGTCCTGGCGTATAATAATATACACACTTACGATAAATATTGGCTCTTTCAGTAAAATTAAACTAACGCCGCCCGGGTGAAGCCATCAGCCACACTTCTCGCTCAGTTTGGAGATATTTTGACCCAAGCAGCCAGCAGGGCAGGCAATGCAAGCACGATACTTATTAGAATATGTGATGATCAGGTTTGTCCTATAAAGTCCCTCCCCTCTTTGGTTCTTCCTCTTATCCTGCCATGGCATGCGGCTGGTTAGTCTGGTTGAGGCGGACACCAATTGGATCTTGCACAAGCGAAGGATGTGATGGCTCAGTGGAAAATGCATTCACGATACCACAATGGTGGCCATTGGCAGTTGTGGAGCCAGTGACCAGGACATACGTCATCTTTTTTTTTGTTTTTTACAATGATTTTAGAGGCGAACATAAGCACCCACCTCTGTAAATACAAACAACATATTAGTTTGCATGGCTGCTCTTGTATGTCTTTTCATTTACAGAGGTGTTGCTCGCATTTGCAAATTCATTCTGCCCGTCTCTCTAAACAGGTTCGGTAGTAGTGCACATGTATATGATCTACTATCAAGGTTGGATGCATATAGATCAAATGAAAACTTGAGTGTCCCCAGAAATTGTGTTATATTGTTTTTACTTGGCAATGGCTAGTTTTGAGATCAATGTGTGAACATCCCTTAACCTTTTATTTATTTCTTCCCCTCTCCCTCTTGGAGCTTCTTCTTAGCAATAATTGATGATTGGGGTGAAGGATTGCAAGCTAGAATGCTACTATAATTGCAAATAAACAGTACACTTTCTCTTTAATCTCCATAGGTCGTTTTGGGTGAATCTATAAAATCTAGGTGGGGGTTCCTCTCTCTCCCCGTGTTGACAATGAAACAACAACAAATAGTAAGCTTTCTCAAATGCCACACATTTGTGAACACAAGGACTGGAATATAGAAGTTATTAATAGATCGTTGTACCATACTGATATTTGAAATGTCATTTATCAATGAGTAAAGGCTTTGCAAAATATAAAAATATGAAAAGAATACATATGAGTGACTGAAGTGAGCACTACCCATCATGCTATCTTTGAGTGGACACCGGTATTAGAAGCAACAAGCAAGCATAAACACTGAAGCTACTAATAACTTACTAGCCAGTGATGATCCCGCCCAAGAAAAATGTGAGCAATGTGCACATATCAACACCACTAGCACACAATAACCTCTGTACACTATGGCTGTTGCTTCTTGGCATATTGCTGTCAGTGGACCGACCACGCATCGGTCCACCGGCTTTATTGTTGATCCAATACATATAAACTCGCATCATCACCAACATAAGTAATGAAATGCACATGACAGAAACACGGACAAGAAACTAAAGGCACACATCAAGTGTACGAAAGATGTTAACTGCGTCTGCTGGCGGCATCATCACTGATAATATTTAATCACCTTTGCTTGATCTCATGATCCCACCATGGGGCCGGGATCCGCTAGGGATTAAGAAAATGATTCGGCCAGGGACACGCGCCAGCACCGTGGTTAACAGACAGATTAGGTGGCTAATTCATAAGCATTATCGCTCCCTAATGAACCCTAGCTAGCTATGATACTCTACCAAATCACTTGCTATGTGCTGGTGAAGGGTCACTGGATCGAGTATAAGCACCCATGCATGCATATGGATGCATGCTAGCCTTTCAAACTAGTGTGGATTGTTGTTAGTTTGCTGCTTTATTCGTACCCTATTTTGACTTGTCTAACACATTATTACACTGTGCCTGGCTAGCTAATGACACGTAGCAAGGGGATAGAGTAATGTGGTGGGGAAGCAAGCATAATGTAATAATGCACGCACCACCTGTCTGAAAATGTAGCATGCAAGTTCATTTTATTGGCCACCACAAGAAGGATGCAACGCCCCCAAAAAGAGAAGAGAGAAAAGAAAAGGGATCGGATGCTTATTTTTGAGGCCAAGACAGCCTTAATCTGCTAGTGCTAGGGTACAAGGACTGCTTTCAGATGGGCGATTAGTTGTCAACTGATGGCACAACCAGGCAACTAAAGGCACCCATCAGCAGATCAAAGTCCACCATGTTATGCATATGCATATGTATGTATGTGACGGCGCCTTTCTGAGTGGTGTTGATGGCTTCGTCCCCGGCCCTCTAATCATCGTTGAAATGACAGGCATGTAGCAGCAGCTTAAATATATACAATGGCGGCAACTTTTCAGAGAAAAGCACACAGAAAGGTTGCTGGAGTAGTTAAGTGAAACATGAATCTGTGGAGCACAATTAGAACTGCCCTGTTCATCC